CTAGTTTTCCTGGGTCCCCAGCTCTGCTCACATGACTTGCCAATAAGAGAGGCATGCTTTACAGGGGAAGAGGTTTGTCCACCTGGAATCTTACAGTTTCAGTGTTGGAGCTCATTTAAGTTGGAGAGTATTCATGTAACAGGAGGACTAATGCCGACTTTAGAGCTCCGCGTGACCCTCATTCAGCCTTGGTCATTGGACCTGGGTGGGTAGGGAAAGCTCTTTCTAGGAGACAAGGTGAGTGTTCTGGTTGGGGCTCCATGCTTACTGATGGTGGTCTTGGGGCTGCCGATTCCCCTCTGCGGCCCCCTGGCCCCTCGTCTAAGAGGGAAGAGGAGGGGTTAACATGCATGGTCTAGAAAGCCCTTCCCAGCCCTGACATTGATGAATCTAAAGGTTTTTCCTCTGCTTCTCCTTCTGATATTGGTGATACCAATCAGCCATAAATGGGTTTAAGTGCTAGTAGCCTGGAGAGAAAGAGGAAATGTAAATCAATTGCATTTTGTAGAATGTTAAAACTAGAAAAGATAGAAATGATCTGATCAAACCCCTGAGCTCATTCATTCGTGAGCTGCCTGGTGTCGTATCCTGCAGGCACTGTTCTGGATGCTGGTCAGCGCTCTGTGTAGAGAGGCAAGGGAGCGAGCCTGTGGCAGCAGTGACGGCTTCTCGCACGGGGTCCGAGGAGGCTCTGCACTCAGGCCACCTGTGAGCAGAGGCCCGAATGAGGTAAGAGGCCAGCATGAGCTGTCAGAGGTGGAACATTCCAGGGGTAACAAACCACGCCTGCCCCTGAAGAAGGCTGGGGCTCAGAGGGAGCTGGGTGAGCTCACCCCCATCTGCGTAGAGTCCGGCCTGCACTGTGATTTACCACTGATTCTAAACCAGTTCCAAAGCTTGCCAGGGACAGTGTGTGGCCTCCGGACCTCTGACGTACATCACAGCCTGGCTGTCGCGGGAGCCGATGGGGAAATGCCCCCTGTCCTCTGCACACAGCGCGCCTGCTCTCCATGCCTGCGGGCTCCTGTGGGCTCTGCCCTTGCAGAGGCTTGTCACTGGGCGATAAGATGGAAGTTCCAGCTTCTCTGATAACTTAAACTGTAATTTTTTTAAAAAATATATCTTTATTGATTTCAGAGAGAGGAAGGGAGAGGGACAGAGAGAGCTAGAAACATCAATGATGAGAGAGTCATTGATCAGCTGCCTCCTTCATGCTCCGTGCTGGGGATCGAGCCCGAAACCGGACCGGGTGCCCGGACCGGGAACCCCACCGGAATCTCCTGAATCCCAGGTCGATGCTCAGCCACTGAGCCGCGCCTGGCTGGGCTGTACATTTTTTTTTAATGTAATTTTCACCTGAAGACACTTTTCCCATTGCTTTTTTTTTTTTTTTTTAATACGTTCGAAATTTTAAGGTCAGTTTATTAAGTTCCTTGATGAAAGCTTTCAGAAGAATATTCTGAAGATTATTTTTTCTTAGAAAAAAGAAAGGAAGA